GTAAAAGGTGCTACATGAGAGGTCAGCTCACCAATACACATCCTCTCCACAAGAAACTGGAGCAACATTCAAGCAGATACTGAGGATATTAAGCTTCAGTGAGACCAAGCAGTCAGCCCTGACACCAGAAAAGCATTCACCTCATGCTGTGATGAGTAGCATTCATCTGTAAAATTTGCCTTCCTTGTATTGATTTGGCTCAGAAGCTGGCAAAACTTCAGCTTGATCAGGCCAAACCTTCACCCAGGAGCACAACTGCTGTGTCCATTACTCAGCACAGCCATGCTAGCAAGCAAGGATGGAGCAAGGAACAGCAGCACACCTTGCTTTCATCCACCCCAGTGAGGCTCCACAGATACATCACACAGACTCATCTTTCAAACACTTTTTGTCTTCAAGGGCTTTGTTGGTGTAACTGTCAAGCTCTCTGAAGCTCAGACATGATCAAAGTGTTGCACAGGGTGAAGGCTAAACCTCTCCTAATTCCCAATGTTTCAAGCACACCTGAGATTGTCCTAGATTAATATTATGATTATTAATGTCCTAGATTAATAGTACCATTATTAATGCTAGTAATAATCAACACAATGCTCTCAAGACAGCACAGGTCTCCACAAAAACAAGTGTGGCAGTGTCAACACTCGGGTTTCATCTCAGACCTCCACAGCAGTTTGGTCAGACCATCAGTTTTATTGACTATATATCCTTCCACCCTCTCTTAATTTGGTTTCTTCAGATTAAAGCTGGTCTTTAGCAGGTGCTTTAGGTTACAGAAATTCAGGCTGTAAGCTTCTTGCTGCTAAGTTTGGACTACATTCTGGTGATGGCAGCATTTTCTTTAATATTTATCTTACAAAAGAGATTTGAGCTGCTTTTAAGGTCCACAGAGCACATTAAACCTTTTATGAAGACATATAATGTGGTTTTGTGTATTAAAGGATGACTATTCCTCACTATATTTTGTGCTTTTATATAACAGAAACCCAGCTGTGCTAATATTGCTGAACTATTTCAGTAACATTTAAAGATTTCAATAAACCTGTTTTCATTGCAACCAGAAAGAGTAAGTGAACTAATCTGCAAGAAACATTTACAATAAAAAACAGAGAGCCAACATATGAGCAAGGATCCTCAGATTTGGATCAAGGCTCTCTCATTAGGAAAGGAAGAATATATGGAATGGGCCATGCATCATTTATTCTCAACTCTTCCATATTTTAAATGGGGTGGCAAAAGAAAGGTCTGTTACAATTGTGAAAACTTAGTTCAAGGCTTAATTGTTGGTTTTCAACCCCTATTTTAACTTTAAATTAAGATGTTTCTTGTGCCTGAGACAAGCTTGTATTTCCATTTACAAATCAAGCCCAGCATCTTATGCACATAGAGACATGTGATCTCTGCACCCTGCAGAAAAGCAGTGCTTCCAAAAACAGAAATGAAAAGCAAAATTCATTCAGCTGCAGGCACAGAACAAAGACAGCAAACTGAAAGGCACAATAATAATACTGTTCCCATCTAAGGAAACACTGAAAGGTTATTTTTCTTTTTCTTTTATTGACAATTTGGACAGTTTTAATGCATGACTTAGCAGGCAAGAGGAAGGTTGCATGTATTAAGAAATTAGAAAGCAGAGACTGTTCCTGAATATAAAGCACAAAACCATACCAGATCCCTGTGTCACTATCACTTGGACATTTCATTATCAGACCTAAGTCAAATTGTTTGACTCTTTCCTAACTATCAATGGATGATGATGCCAATTTATTGCTTGAAGGTGCCACATCCAACTGTGATTGTTTCTGCCCCTCCAAGCTGTGCCTGACAAGATATCCAAGAGGAGTTTGATGAGCAGCTGAAATTTAACAAGCCATGCTCAACACTTTCTTCTTTTTTTTTTTTTACATTAACTATATGCTGAAAATTTCTCAAGAATTTACTCAAAATGTCAAACATTGAGTCAGGGATTTGGGATGGCCTTTTTCTCCAGTAAATTTACTTTTATTTTTGAATTATGAGAAATAGCAATTCTCTACACATGCATAAAATCAAGTTGCACTTCAAAGCTCTACTAAGCTGTGTGCTCCCTTCAGTCATTTAACTGAACAAATGCATAATAGGCCTGGAAGGAATTGAAAATATTTCTCTTGCTGTATGTGGGAAAATTTGGAATATTCCTGCCAACAGTTGAAGATTGCTTTAGACTGTCTAAAAAAAATCAGGTAATGGCCATCAAATGAGCATTCTAAAATTCTTCAGCACTTTAAGTCCCAACAAATGGTGAGACTTCAGCTGTTATAAAAGGTTACAATCCCTTGACCAACCAGTTCTATTTTAATTCTGTAATACACCCTTGTCCAAAGTATGTCCTTGCTTTCAAAGCAGGCATCTTTCAAAATAAGACAGGATCTTATTTTTTGCCCCACGTAATCTGAATTATGTTAATGAAAACATAGTTCTATTTAAAAACAAATCAGGGTCAGTCATCCAGAAGACAACAGATTTCAGACTCATTTCCATCACAGGCTGCACGTACAGGGAAAATTCATTATTTATACAGACTTTTCACTGAGTGGGTGTCAGTGCTCTTAATTAAGTCCCCAAGCAGTCACAGAACTCCATCCCTTTTGGCTCTTATCCCAGCCCGCAGTTTAAGGTCACATTTGTAACACTCTCCATTTTGTAGGGAAGCACCTGCTCTCTTGCTCCTGTCACTGGGGCACAGACCCTTGTTAGGGGCTGCTGGCATCTGAAGCATCTTTGTGCAACACCCAAGTTCCCAAGGAGGAGTGGCTGACTGTGGTTTTTGCTGTTTGTGAGGATGCAGCTCAGTCGCGTTCTGCGCCTCGGTGGGGTCTGGGTCCCTGCGCAAGGGAGGCTGCCCAGCTCCTCACAGCTGCCTAATGCACGCTGACTGCTGTCACTTCACATCAGCAACTCTGTTATGTCAACAAGGAGCAACACAAAAAGCATCAAAGTAGCTCGCTGGAAGCCTCCCTGTAGTTTTAAACATACACCAAAAACCAGAACGGGTCGCAACACTATCCATAGGAGTTTGTGAATGTTAGGATGTAACGCAGCGCACTGTCAGGAACCAGGCATCTACAGAGAGGCAGGTCTGGGTAGCAATTCTGTTCCTCAAGCTGCTGAATTTACAGCAAAGAGAAAAATACACTATGGGGATAATGCCCATATTCACAACACTTCAAGTTCATAATAAAGAAACTCTTGCTAGAAGCTTTGAACATCTGGCAAACTTTCCAACATGCAAGCTGCATAAAGCATCCACAGTTGATGGCTTCTGAAGGAGAGGGTGGAGAGCCAAATTCAGCACCCTTTGCCAAAGACACCAACCTTGGCACAAGTAAACAAATGGAGCTTAAATCATGCCATACTTTACCAGAAGAAAAACAACAAACAAACAGAAAAGTTACAAATGCCTTTCAAAACTGGAAGAGACATTGAAAAATCTCAAGCTCTAAGCATTAAAAAATATTATTCTGGGGAGGACAAAACTGACTGATACCAATAAAGGATTTTCATCCACCACATTTGCCTCAATACAACACCTGCCTTTTTAGACCGTTTCTGTAAGCTCTGGGACATAAGCTACTTACAGCATTATAAATGGTTTAAGTTAATTTCAGTGTTGGCTCACCTCAAAAAAGCAGAAAGTCCCGTGTACAGAGATCTACTTCCTAAGTAGAATATGATTGGAGGGTTTTCAAGATTTTGCTTTGCCTGGCTGGAAGATTTAGAGTGCATATTATGGAGGTGCCTTAAATCACTAATTTTACAACAGCTTTTAGAGCAATAGTTGAAACTGTAGTAGCCTATAACCAAATGAGACAGTCACTCCACTTCTCACAAGTTCATATATTTATTATCTTTTAAACTAGCTAGTACGGACACATAGCTTGCATCACAAAATTTACCAAGTTTACTACAGCACAATATTTTCTCTAATTAAAGAGAAAATATTAAAGATTTATTAAAGTTTCATATCCTACAGATATGAATGGCTTTTCTCATTGTGTGACACTTTTTCATAGGGATAGATTTACAAGCATGTGCATCCATAGCATCAAGGCCCTAAGCTGTCTTCCATTTGAGAATCTGGTTTAATACGATTTATTTCCCCTTTAACTATCAGTACTGGAGAATTTTCTTTTTAAGGCAGATTAATCATAGCCTGTACCATTATTACAGCAGCACAAATAGAGATGTTAGTTTGTAGGATCTATCTACCTGCAGGGAGGTTTATCTGCTCATCAGTGACTGAAACCTGCACTTACCCACCTGAGCGTAACAGTACGCTTAGAAAGGCACACGAAGGCATCTAGGTTTCAAGGTGACCATACGAAAAGGCACCTTCAAGAAAAAGACGGGGGGAAACAACCCTCGACGGGTCCTTACAGAGCAGAAGGGAAACCAGCAGCGACTAGAGAGTGCAGCCAGCGAAGACGAGAGGCCGGAGAGCCGGGAAGGCAAAGGACAGCTGGGGACAGCATCTGCTGATGGCACCGAGCCCTGCCCGCACCGCCGGCCCGGGGGAGGCGGCGGCGCAGCCCCGGAGCGGGAGGCGCGCAGGGACCGCCAGGTGCGCGGAGCCCCGGGGACACCGCCCCGGCCCCGGAGAGCGGCTCTGCGCCATCCTCCGCGCCAGCCCCGCCGCTCCCGCCGCCATCCCCCACGGCTCCCTCCTGCTCTGCCTCCCTACATCCCTCCTCGCCTCCCTCCATCCCTCCTCGCCTCCCTCTCTCCCTGCTTCCCTCCCTGTCCGCCGCCGCCGCCCGGCGCTGGCGGGGCGAGCCCCGCCGGGAAGGTCGCTGCCCGCGGACCCCGACACTTTCCCCCGCGCCGAGCAGTGACACGCCAGCCCGGCCGCGCCGCGCCGCTCCGCGGAGGAAGGGCACGGGGAGGCGATGGCGAGGCGATGGCGAGGCGATGCCGCCCTGCTCCCGGCCCTGCTCCCGGCACCGCTCCCGGCACCGCTCCCGTACCTGCGCGCCGCTCCCGCCGCTCCCGCTCCGCTCGGCCCCGCGGCGCCCCGGCCCCGCCCCCTGCGCGCGCAGCCGCCGAGTCCCGGGCGCCGCCGGCGGAGGGCGCGGCCCCGAGAGCGCTGCGGCCGCTCCGCACCGGGGATGCTCCGGGTACCGCACAGCCCCGCGCCTTGGGATGGCCCCGGAGCATCCCGCTGCGGTCCTGCCCGCGGAGAGCCAGCCACGTCCGGCATGTCATCCCTCGGCCCGTCTGGAGAGCCGAGAGCGTGCCGAAAGAGAAGGGGCTTTTTTATTCAGGTTTTGTCTCATGGCTAACTTGCGTTCCTCTGTCTCACGCAAAGGTAACTCTAGGAAAAGAACTGGGAGTTTTAAAATATGGCTGCTGCCTCATCAACCAGTCAAACCACTGTATAAGGAGTTCTCCAAACTTTGCCAAGCTGAGGAGATGAGCTCATCAGAAGTATCCCCAAGGAAAGGGTTGCTAAGGATTGGAATGTGCTGCCCAGGGAGGTGATGAAGTCACCGTCCCTGGAAGTGTTCAAGAAACATCTGGGCTGGCATTTAGCGCCCAGGTCTAGTTGACCTTGTTGACAAGGAAGTGATCGGTCAAATGTTGGGCTCGATGATCTTGGAGATCTTTTCCAACCTAATGAATTCTGTGATTCTATGGTTCATGACTGAGGAATTCCCTGCTGCTGCATGTGGAGTGTCACAGTGGGCTCCATCCCCTCCAGCAGCTGAACTTCCAGGGACCTCTCAGCTCTGTGGATGCAGCACCAGCAGCAGGCCCAAAGCAGAGCAGCACCCACTGTCCCTCTGAGGGACCTCCATTCACAGCACAGCATCCCTCAGCCGTGGCATGTGGAGCAGGTGGCCTGCCCTCCCTGCCAAACTTGACCAAATGGAGCTGTCCTCTGTGCTCCATCCTCAGCACACAACCTGTGCCTCCATGCAGAGGTAAAAATAGTTTAACTGCTGAGTACAAGCATGCAGGTCCCTGCATGAATGGTTAAACTGCTAAATATGGTCTGACACATATGGTTACATGGTGCTGGTATAAGGCAGCACCTTTATGCATCTATCTCTGTATTCAAGGAGAAGAGCCTTGCTGCACGTTCCACCAATTCCTGCCTGAAACCAGGCATTTCATGTGCAGAAGGGACTGCCAAGTATGTTGGATGGGAAGAAGGTTAAAAGGAAGGTTAAAAGGAAGCAGGGGAAAAGGTCAGAGAGGCAAGGATGAGCCAGTGGAGATATTAAAGAGTATTACAAACTGGAGTATTTCACCAGGAGAGCAGAAGAAAGCAAGTATATTAGGTTGGTAAAGCCATACCACTTAAATATTGCACTGCCTGTTGGATCTGGTTTAGTAACCTGGCTAAAGAAAAAACAAAAAGCTAGACAGAATCTGCACATTTAAAGAAAATATAGAAGGAAAAATTCTGAAACTCTATGCACCAAAAAGAATTTCCTCTCATCACCACAAAAAGCACCACAGGTCTGTGTCTGTACAGAAATTGTGGATAAGAATTGGACACTGCTGCTGTCAAACTTAAATGCAGACCAAAAGTTGCAGCTTCATTATGTAACTAAGAGAGAAAATAGTTTGCTGCTCCCAGTCTCAGTGAATGTGAAACACTGTGGCATTGCACCTTTCGGGGGCATGTCAGTAGTCTGAATAAGGACTGCTTGGGCTCAGTGCTGTTGATTAAAAAGCTGAGCTGATCATTAGCAACATGGAAGCCCTTCATACTCTAAGGGTTTCCATTATATATTTTAAGCAAGACCTTCATTTTCCTCTGATATCAGTTTTGCTGCCATCAGAATTACATTTCGATGTGTTTTACAACAGAAAAAGACTGTATATGTCCTGCTTAGGACGTATGATTGAAACGTGATCTGAATCACTGAGAAGCTGAGGACTTTATACCAATTTAATTGTAACAAGTTCAGTTGAACATAGCAACCCAAATTCCTTGCTCTGGAGTTACATCAAGGATGAACTGCGTCACAGGCAGCTTGCTTCTTAGAATCAGAAAGGCAGCTGATGAAAAGAGCAGGTGCAATTTGGAAATGGGTTCAGATTATATCCTATAGCACACCACTTATATTACCTATATTATGCTCACTTAGATGACTAAGTCTCCTCTCTAATTACACTGGAGATGATTATGGTTGAGTATAATCTACCTAAGAATTATTAGACTGTCTACAGAGTGATTACATACTGTCAACACAGAAATCCTTGATGCTTCCTTTCTGTGTAAGCTGTCATGAACTGTGCAAAGCAGCAAGGATGAGTGGTTAGAGCACAGTGCTGGGAATCAAGAGAGCCTGGGGTGTATGCTGCTCTGCCATAAGCTTGCTGCTTGGCTCTGGATAAATCTTGTAGCCTCACAGTAATTAAATTACCTCACACAAGAAATGGGGAGAGCATTTACTCAGAGCTGCAACTTTAAAGTCCTTGAATGGAGATTGCTGTGTAAACAGAAAATACAGAATTATAATAATTAGGGCAAAGCCACAATGCCTATCTATTGATTATTTCCTCTTTTAAAACATGACAGCAGAATGTATGGATTTTATAAATGTTTTTTTCTCTTGTGAAAGATTGGTTTCAAATGGGATGCAAAATCAAAGAAGAAGAGCAGGAAGGACACTTCTTTAGAAAAGAGAATTTCAAAGAATCTTTGTTCCATGTTTTATATGTGAAAGAAAGAGAACAAAAGGCAGACACTGAAATATACAGCTTAAGTTACAGTGGGTTTTTTGTTTTCTTTACCCATGTCCTTAGTTGGAGATCAAAAAGCTAGTTCAGCAGAGCTAGTGCCCCAAAATCATCAAGATGCTGCAGCACTAGTCTTTGTTTCATCATTTCCAAAATACTTTCCTCTGCAAGTTCAAGACAGCAGCCATGCAGACATAGAGCAGATGGGACTAGTTTTCTCAATAAACTGTGTTTTGGAGAGAGGTTGACTTAATATAGATGGTAGAAAATACCATCTAAATGTTGAAATCATATTAAGAGGCTTAAAATGATAGATTTTGGTGGAAGGGTAGTACAGCCAAGAAAAGCTTTTTGTTGGTATTAATTTTTGTAATTTCAGGGCAACATCTTAGTTGTGTTCTTTCTGGTGGAATCCTGATTTGCAGTACCTAAAAATCAGATGAACTTGAGTTGTTCAGAAGAAATGCACTTGATTGCTAAATGCAATCTAAGCCTATACCCATGAAAGCATCCCACTAAACTTAAATTATTCCTTTTACAGTGAGTTACAGGAAGAAAAGAGCTCCTTTTATACAGAAGAGTGAGTAACATTGAAAATGCCTATGCGACCCTAGATGATAGTTACATCATAGGCCAGTAAATTCAACTGGTGTCATAGAATGAACCTAAAGAGCAAGAAGTATCAATGGCACTTGAGTGTTTTGGGGTATTTTATATAGACAGAAGACTGGACCAGAGAAATGAGAGTAATTCTCCCACACTAAAGGTAACTTCCACCCATAACAAAGAAAAAGGATGGCAGGTGCTGGATTATGATGTAAAATAAAGATGTCACTTGCAGAGCTCTGTGAATGTTCAAAATGAGAAAGATAGGAGAAATTCTGGCTGCAGCCTCTTCATCCAATTATACCATTGAAGTTTAATCTATGGAAATGGCTGCAGCTGTACATAAAAAGTGACTGTAGGCATAGCAGCAGGCTTAGATGCTGAGCTCTTACTCATGCACCACAGAAGGTGATTCATACCCCCGTTACACAAGTGACAGAGCAGAACACGACTCCTCAGTGTGACAGGGACACAGCGCTGCAAGGACTCCAGGCATGCTGCAGCACTCTCAGTGACCAGAAACCTGTTGGGCACAACAGCACTGGCCCACACAACCAAGCACTGACCCACCAACCAAGCACTGACCCACCAACCAAGCACTGACCCACCAACCAAGCACTGGCCCACCAACCAAGCACTGAGCCACACAACCAAGCACTGGCCCACCAACCAAGCACTGAGCCACACAACCAAGCACTGACCCACCAACCAAGCACTGACCCACCAACCAAGCACTGAGCCACACAACCAAGCACTGAACCACACAACCAAGCACTGAGCCACACAACCAAGCACTGACCCACCAGCCAAGCACTGAACCACACAACCAAGCTGCTCCATTGCCCACTCAAGAAGGTTGCCTACTCCTGAAGTAATGTATCAAAAAAATCATCGGTCTCTTGCTTGGTTTTTATAACTTTTGCTGTTTTCCTTATTTTAATTCACAGAAATCTGGGACAGGGTATTTAGGTTTGTAACTCTGAAGTCTATCACAAGACACATTTATTATTATTGGCTTTTTTATTGTGTTAGAGCACCACTTGTAACAGTGAGGCTAAAGCACTTGACAATAGCTAAAGACTCATAATAATAAATAGTCCAGGCAGATGGATTGTCATCCTGAGAAGGTAAGGCAGTAATGACCATGAAGCAGCAGAAAATACAGATGAAGCAGCAGAAAATACAGAGGCAAGAGCATTACTTTCTTATGCAATGAGCATATTTAATGTTCATCTGTGCTTCATGGTTTTTGATGCTGCCTGTACAGAAATGCTTGTGGCAGGCCAATGAGCTGCAAAAGTCATCTCACTTCCCTCTGCAATAAATGTGCTACAGTAACTATGTTATTAAAATTTTATTAAAATTCAGGCTTAGGGTTTTTTTCTTAGCTTAGCATTGTTCATCAAATTGCAGCAACCTGAACATCAACACATAAACCAAAATACATTCTTGGTGTTACATAGGTGATACAGGATTTCAATAAAGTGACTGCACACCTGCAGCAGTTTCATGTCTTATATTAGTGTGTCATGGCTAAATAATCTGTGTGTGAATTGCTGCAAATTAAATCACAGCACTTGGAGAAAAGATCGGACAGTAACACAAGGGACAGCAAAATCCCCTGTGTAATTTATCAGCCATCTGGTGCAGTGCAAACAGCACTCATTCAGGGGAGGCTCTGGTTAGTAACCACAGCAACAGGTCTGCTGA